AACAGGACAGACATACAGAGACACACAGAAAGGAATGCCATGTGAAGACTGAAGCAGAGATTTGAGGGATGTGTGTACAATCCAAGGAGTGTCAAGGATTGCCAGCCACCAGTAGCTAGGAGAGAGGCATAGAACAGCTTCTTCCTCAGAGCCTCTAGAAGGAACCAACCCTGCTGACATCTTGATTTCGGACTTCTGGCCTCCTGAACTGTGAGAAAATAAATTTCTGTTGTGGTAACTTGTTACAGCAGCCCTAGAAAACTAACAGAGGCAAAAATAAGCCTCCTAGATGGGAATTTTTTTTAAAAAAAATGCTCCTCTTATTAGGAATTACTATTGTTATCTTCCCAGGATAGGCAGGTGGCCTTCATGTGGTCTTGAACTTCTTAACTATGGTCTCGATTTTATTAGAGCCTACTCCTGATAATTACTTATGCAACTGTTGAACCCACTTCCTATAATCCTTTACTTCCTTTAAAGTCAAAGTATCATTTTTCTTGGAAGAAGGAAAGGGAACAAGGAGAAAGGAGATTAAGCTGGAAAGCAGAAAAAGATAACCGTATTTTTAAACTTCATTTAGTTGAAGATTTTTGTTTTTTCATAATGTGAACAAAATATTTACCTTCTCTTAAGATAATTAAGAGCCATCTCTGAACTGCTGAATAAGGTGACTTTTACAAAAAAAATTTAGATCAAGAAATCAGACAAACACATAGAAAATAAAACTAATGAGAAGAAAGGGAATGAAAGACAGAATTTAAAATTAAAGACTGACTGAACAATGCAGAGACAGGGAGGACGGGGTGCAATCAAGGGAAAAGGAAAAAGAAATCCGTTCAAAACAACCCAGCAAAGACATGGATGCAAAATATAATTTCATTTTGTTTGTGTTTCTTTTTTAAAGAAAGCAATACTGTGGCTGTTTCAAATCGGTTTCAGGAAATAGCTGAAAATGGATTTCAGGCCATCAAAGTACATGGAATAGTATCACATATTAAGGGCTTTTGTGACAAAGGCGTCTAGAAAATGAATGATTGAGGCAGGAATAAATAGTCATATAAAAATATCTGTAATTCAACAACACTTCAAGTTTAGGCTAGCCTTCATACCACTCTGATAATGTACTGAACAGGAAGCTACACCATGAAAATACAAGAAGATGCTAGACAGGCTACTTCTACCTCTTGGACCTGTCTGGGTCAGAGCAGCACCTAGCAAAATCCTAAGGGACTAAAGTCCACCCCCCTACCCGAGACCAAAATCTACTCCCACCCCACCTTGGCTCAATGGTTTTCTCCCACTGTGGTGAGGGTGGTTTTGGAAAAGCTCCTCAAATGCCAGGAAACACTGTAATACAAAAAGAAAAAAACAATTCATAAGTACCAAATCTTAACTAACATTTTGGCCTCCCTCTCAAGAAAGACTGGCATAGTAGAAAAAGCACTAGTCTAGTAACCAAGAAACCAAGTGTATTTTGCTTGTTCAGCATTCATTTGCTATTAACTCCAAGTGATTTGGGCGGAGGGGCAGATACTCTCTTTCTGCTAAGGGTTGCTAAGCTGATAGAATATAAACCAGAAGCTACTGACGGCCATCTCTGCCACAAATTAGGCTGAAAATGAAGTCATTAGAGAAGAGAGCAGAACTAAGGCATAGAAAGAGATATTCCAGGTGACAGAATTTAAGAACCTGGCTCCAATTCTTCCTGAAGCTGCTTCTTCTTAAATTAGTTTATACTGAGTTTCTGTAACTTGCAAGTAAAAGTCTAGCCAATATACTTCTCCTCTCTTAAACTTAGTTTCCTCTTCTATAAAATGGGCTAGATCTGAAGTTTTGAAAACTTAACTTTGGGCAATGAAACTTTATTGTTGCTATTTTTTTTAACAAAATATCATTTTGATATCAAAAATGAGTTTATTCCTATAAATGAATTTTATAAGATCAAATTTACAACAGTTACTTATGACCAAAATCAATTTTAAAAAATGAGTATTTACATTTGGTTTGGAGACTAAAAATTAAAATGACTCGATCAGTATAAATATACTTTATACTATCAAATGTATTATATTTATTTATTATGGCTAAAATTATGAGAACAATAATGTGTTTGGATAAGCACAAAACTTTAAAATTGGAGACTAGTAGTAAAAGCTGAATACTTTTATTAGCATCAACACTCAATTTATTTCTATATTTTGTTTTGGCTGCACATTATTGAGACAATCCTGATTCAAAAGGAACAGCTGCAAAGAGTAACGTATGTTTTCCACATCTGCTTTATCCCATAACACTATTTAATTAAAGACAGAGAAAAGTTTTAAGTTCTACCTAAAAGAAAACATACGTGACAGCACAAGTCTTTTTTAAGTGGGGATCTCCAATTGGTTAAAATTCAGTACATAAGGTAGTTAAGCGTCCATGTGTTATTTTTGAATTTTTCTGATGATTTTAAATTCATTAAAAATTAAATATGAACCAAATATTTACAGAATACCATTATAGTGCCTTCACAGAACTCTAATAAAATAGATAATCTCTAACATCTTTTAGAAAAATTTTTTAATCTGATTCATATACACTCACTGCCCCTAGGAAACTGTTTAAGCAATGAAGTACCCAAACATAAAAAGTCCTAATTTTCCTTTTAATAATAAGCCTACTGTTTAAAAAAGAGAGAAATTTCACCAATTTCCATTCATAACCTTAGAGTTATGAACACAGTCAAATAATAAATTGGGTCAAATAAGACTGCTGTAACAACATATTCGATCTTATTGAGAGTCAACTTGGTGGAGCAGATCATAACCAGTAAAAAACCAGTTGCCATAGAATTGATTTCAACTCATGGTGACCCCAAGTGTGTCAGAGTAGCACTGTGCTCCATAGGGTTTTCAATGGCTGATTTTTCAGAAGTAGATCACCAGGCCTTTCTTCCGAGGCACCTTTGGGTAGACGCGAATCTCCAACCTTTTGATCAGCAGCTGCACACATTAACCATCTGTACCACCCATGGGTTCCGAGCAGATCACAGAAAGTGCTATAAAATGTTCATTACTCAAGAGCGCCTGCTTTACAAAGGTAGAAATAAATAACTCTCCATCTCTAACCTCAAGAAATTAACAGTCTAGTAGAGAATACAATACATTCATTCATTCAATATCTGTGTGTATTCTCAGCACCACTATCCACTGTGCGAGCAACTCGGGTTAAACAGTGAACAAGACACATACGGTCCCAACCTTCATAAATGCTGTTAATCTAGACAGGAAGTACAAGGAAACTATGAAAAACTTATAATTCGATGATCCAGTGGGGTTTAACAGTAAAGAAAGTCTCTCTGAGGAAGTGGTCCTGAAGCTAGGACAACCTTCAGGATTAAGAGAGATGTAGATAGTGTTTCAGAAGTGAGCAAGAGTATGGTGAGTTTCAAAAACTAAAAAAGTCAACCACTGTTATAAGGGAGTAAAGGGACAAGCTGTTGCTACTATTTTAGGCATGAAAGCCATGCAAAGTTCAGACTTTAACTTAAGAGCAGCGGAGAAGATTTTTAAACAAAAAGAACATATGATTGGGTTAACATTTTTGAAAGATTGCTGGCTACTATGTGAAAATTACTATAAATTGAGGGAACAAGCCCAAAGACAGCACTAGTTAGGAGGTTACTACAATGAGGGTAGTAACTACAAAGTAACAAAGGAACTCAAAGAAGGGTACAACAAACTCAGCTAAGTATGATAGGAATCAAAAAAGCTTCAGAGAAGTAACGTTGCAGCTCAATCTTGAAAGACAAGGACTAGGCCAGCCAAGTAGAGGAAGGGAATTTGTGCAATGAGAGAGGACTATATGAACGGCATGTTTGGGAAATGGCAGTAGTTCCTCATAGTGATCTTGAATGAGGTGAAATAAAGCTGGAAAGGTAGATCAAAGAACAGAGAGTAAAGGATATGTTATAATAAACTTAGAAATGAAATATCTCCAGGACTCTGTAAGTATTTTTAAGCAGGGTGCTAACATGACCAGACTTACATTTTAGATTCTTTCAGGAACAGTTAGCCTAAAGAACACATTAAAACAAGAACAAGCTTGCCAGCACATTGTCTCAAAGCCTAGTCTAGTAACTTGACAACCAAGTAAGGTCCAATGAAGTACTCAGCATCTTAGAAACCAAAAAACTAGTACCCAAGTTCAGGCTACACTGCAGGTGACATGGCTATTGAAACAAAGGGAGGAAAAAAACCAAGTTTCTGCAGATAAAACACTAAGAATGTAATGGTGACAGAGGAGAAAACATCAACTAAGAAAACAGGGTAATAACTGAGAAACAAGTTAATTTCAGGGTAACAAATACTTCCACCACTTGCTGTCAATTATACACAGACCCATTCCTTATATGTAATAATTACTAAATTGTGGTTCCTGACAAGCAGTTCAAACACCAAATGTAATCTAACATACAACACTTAAGAAGGCAACCAAAACAAAGATTAGATTAGAAACACCAAATAACAGCAGAGGACCAGCCCGATACTATAGCTAGTTTCCTACTGCTTATAAAGGAAGTTTTCCCTACCTGGCCAGTCCTTGTGGCATACCAACTAAAATGAGGGGTGGGCTATGGATTGTTGTTGGTTGCCATTGAGTTGATTTTCGACTCACAGCAACTCTATGTGACAGAGTAGAATTGTCCCATAGGGTTTTCTAGGCTGTAACTTTATGGAAGCAGATCGTGAGGTCTCTCCCAAGGAGCCTCTGGGTAGATTCAAACCACCAATCTTTCAGTTAGCAGCCAAGAGTTTAACTGTTGTGCCACCAGGGTTCCTTAGGATATGGAGGGGTAATTGCTGTTTCACAAACGTTCTTTATCAATACACTTGACAAGTTCTTGAATGCCCTTCTTCCAATCCTTTTTCTTTTTATAACAAATATGGCTCAGTTTACAACATGACACACACATACTGAAGAACCCAATTATTTTATTTTTAGAAAATTAACCCTACCTTTCCGGGGTCATCCTTGGATCGAGGCACTTTAAGGAAACACTTATTCAGTGACAGATTATGGCGTATTGAATTCTGAAATTGAAGAAGTAAGAAAAGTCACAGGGTCAATGAAATCCAAAAAACAAAACTCACTTTTTAATACAGAACCAGAAACCTAAATATATCTGTTTGTTAGAATACAATACAAATAGAATAGCTTTTAAAATGAGACCTTCAAATTTAAACCTTTCTAATTTTCAAATTACAAATGCTGCAAAGAGAAATAATTGTTGGAACAGGCACTTTCTAGTAGATTTTACAAAAATCCACAATAATAAGAATACATGCAGTATTTTAAATGTTTATTAAGTCCTTTTAATGATACAGGAGGATCCCTATTATATAACGTTAATGGTGCTCTGCCAAAGAAGACAAAGCCCTGCTACCTTCCTTCTGTAGATCTTACAAAGCTAAAAACTTAAGCTGCTGGGACAGTGGCAGCAAAACCTCTTATCCACAGGGCTCCGGCAAAGATCCACTGCTTCTGGGTGAAGAAAACGGAAAAAGAAAAAAAAAAAAGCCCTCTGTCTCTACGGAGGTTTAGCAAACCCTCTCCGAGGACACAGGCAAAGATCTATTGCTGCTGGAGAAAGGGTAAATGCAAACACCCTTTGGGAGAGGTGTACAAAATGGTCTTGGGCCCAGGATTCTACATCTATACCATGAGGAGGACTGCCACAGCTGGGGAAGGAGCAAGAAACTCCCACCCAAGAGCAACTAACTACAGATACAAGGCTGAATTCGGCTGATGGGAAGAAACACTGAAAAAGCCCCCCAACCCCTACCCTAGGACTGAGGCTAGACCAAGACAACAGGAAAAAAAACAAAAACAAAAAAAACCTGCCCTCACCATGAGCCTAGCACTGAATAACAAGCATCAGCAGTCTACTGAAAGAGGAGGGGTAAGAGCATAGAGAGAGACTCCATCTGTAGCAATGTGCGCAGGGACAATTAAAATTTAAAGAGAGAGCAAAAAACTGAGAAAAATCTACCCAAGCCCCTGACTGCAAGCACAAGCAGCCTACTGCTGGAAGAATGTAAAGTCTGTGGTGTACTGAAGGTAAAGATACAAAAAAAACGGAAAAACAAATCCAGCTCAACTACTGACAGATTAACTCAACACCCTACACAAAAGGCCTGAGAGATAAAAGATGCTTACCCATTTACAGGTACAAATACTATTTGCCTCAATCTCTACTGTTCTTCTACACATATGTCTGACACTCAGTCAAAAATTACAAGACACAGAAAAGCAAGGAAAAAACCCACCATCAAGAGATGAAGTAATCAACAAAACCCAACTAACAACAAGAAATGAAAAGACAACCTATAGATTGGGAGAAAATGTTTGAGATCCATATATCAGATAAGGGCTTAATAGCCAAAATATATATAAAAATTCTACCACTTATCTCATCTCTTCGGGAGCAAGTGAGAATGAAGAGAACAGGATACAACGAAAAGATTAGTCCAAAGGACTAATTGTCCACAGCTACCAAGACCTTCACCGGACTGAGTCCAGTACAGCTAGATGGTGCCCGGCTACCACCGCTGACTGCTCTGACCAGGATCACAACAGAGGGTTCTGGACAGAGCTGGAGAAGGATGTAGAGCATAATTCTAACTCACAAAAAAAAAAAAAGACCAGATTTTCTGGCCTAAAGGAGACTGGAGAAACCCTGAGAGTATGGCCCCCAGACACCCTTTTAGCTCAGTGGTAAAGTTACCTTCAAGGTTCACTGATCAGCCTGAGAGTGGACAGCCCAGTAAAACCATGAGAGTAACGAGGTACAGGAGTCCAGTGACAAGGCCCAGAAGGCAGAAGGGGAGTAGGAAGCTGATGATAGGGAACACAAAGTAGAGTAAGGATATTGTTGATGTGTTGTGAGATTGTTAACCATTGTCATAGGGCAACATTTGTAGTAACTGCTAAATGGGAGACTATTTTGTCCTGTAAGCCTTCATCTTAAGTGAGAATAACAGCACAATTAGAAGAGCGTAGTCAATGTCACTTAAATGTGAATGTAAAAAAAATTTTTGAAATGGCGTATCTTTGGCTATGTGTATTTTCACAAAAGAAAAAAAAAAGTTGAGAATTTAGAGGGTTAAAATGTTGTGGGGTTGTTAACCAATGTCATAAAACAGCATGTGTGTTACTGTTACATGAGAAACTATCTGTTCTGTAAGCCTTCACCTGAAGTACAATAAAATATTTAAAAAAAAAAAAAAAAAAATTCTACCACTTAACAACAAAGACAAAACAATCCAATCAAAAAATGGGCAAAGGATTTGAACAGACAGTTCGCCAAAGAGTGTATACAAATGGCCAATAAGCACATGAAAGATGCTCAACATCTCTATAGCCAATACCAAAAAACCTGTTGCCGTCAAGTTAATTCCGACTCATAGCAACCCTACAGGACAAAGTAGAACTGCCTCATAGGGTTTCCAAGGAGCAGACGGTGGATTTGAACTGCCAGCCTTTCAATTAGCTGTCTGAGCTCTTAACCACTACACTACCAGGGCTCCATCATTAGCCATTAGTGAGACACAAATCAAAACCACAATGAAGTATCACCTCACCTCCGTTAGAATGGAAATGACCAAAAAAAAAAAAACAGAAAACAAGTGCTGGTGAAGTTGAGGAGAAACTGGAACCCTCATCCATTGCTGGTAGGAATGTAAAATGGTACAGTTACTATGGAAAACAGTTTGGCTGTTCCTCAAAAAGTTGGACATAGAATAACCATATGACCCAGCAATCCCAATCCTAGGTATAGGCCCAGAAGAAGTGAAGGCAGGAACACAAACAGAAACCTATACACCATCGTTCACTGTAGCAATTTTTACAACAGCCAAAAGTTAGAAACAACTGAAATGTCCATCAACAGATGAACAAATAAACAAAATGTGGTATATACATACAATGGGATAGTATGCAGCCATAAAGAGAAATGAAGTTCCAATGCACGTCAGAACACGGATGAACCTTGAAAACATCATGCTAAACAAAATAAGTTGGTTGCAAAAGGACAAATACTATATGATCTCACTTATATGAAATAAGCAAATATATATAAACAAAAGATTATTAATAGTTACCAAGGGTAGAAGGGGGGGAAGGGAGAGTTTTGTTTGAGGGGGCACTGAGTTTATATTAATGGCAGGTAGACTATTTTGGAAAAAGAGATAACGGTGGCACAACATGAAAATGTAATCAATGCCACTGAATTATAAATCTGGAAGTTGTTGTGCTGGTGAATGTTTTGGTATATTTATTTTCACAACAATTAAAAAAAAACTGAAAGATGACTCAGGTGTTAGAACTGTCAAACGGGAACTTTAAAATAACTGTGACTAACATGTTAAAGGATCTAGTAGGAAAAAGTAGACAACTTGCACAAATAGATGGGGACTTTCAACAGAGATGTGACAAGTATGAGAGTCAAGTAGAAATGATAGAAATAAAAAACGTGATCAAAGATAAAGAATCCCTTAGATGGGCCCATCAGTAGACTGGACACAACTAGGGTAAGACTCAGTGAACTTGAGGATAGATCAACAGAAATTATCCAAACTGACTCCTTCTGTGTGTTTGTGTGTCTCAGTCTCACACTCACACACATTAAAAAAAAAAAAGATCATTCAAGAACTATAGAACAATACATGTAATTCAAGTACTAGAATTAGAAGAGAAAAAGAATGGAATAGAAGAAAAATTTGAAGAAGTTAACAGTCAAGAAGAAGCCCTGGTGGTGCAGTGGTTAAAACATTTGGCTGCAAACCAAAAGGTTGGCGGTTCAAACCCACCAGCTGCTCTACCGGAGAAAGATGTGGCAGTCTGCTTCCATAAAGATTTACGGTCTTGGAAACTCTATGGGGCAGTTCTACTTTGTCCTATAGGGTCGCTACGAGTCGAAATCAACCTGACAGCAGTAGGTTTGGTTTGGTGGGTTAACAGTCAAGAATTTTCCAAAAAGAATGCAAGACACCAAACCATAGATTCGAGAATTTCACAAAACACCAAGCAAAATAAATTAAAAATTTAAATACCCACACGTTTATATTCATTTGAGTAGAACTACTGAAAACCAAAATGAAGAAAACATCTTGAAGTCAGCCAGAGGAAAAAGAACTATTACACACAGAAGAATAAAGAAATGCAGCACACTTCTCAAAAACTTTGCAAGCCAGTGTGGGGACCATGGTCTCGGGGAACATCTAGCTCAATTGGCATGACACAGCCTATAAAGACAATGCTCTACATTCTACCTTGGTGAGTAGTGTCTGGGGTCTTAAAAGCCTGTGAGCGGCCATCTAAGATACTCCACTGGTCTCATCCCTTC